CGTTTTTACCATTCCACTAGTCCCTTCCCACATCTGCATGACGTTCCCCTCCAGGCCTCCGTTGGCCTTCTGCACTACTTCGTCCCAAATGCACTTTTTCTTCTTTTTCACTAGTCCCTTCACCTGTTTTCTCTTGGCCCTGTACTTTTCCCAACTCTCCTCAGACGCCTCACTCAGGTACTGCTTGAAGACTTCTCTACGTTCCCCTATTTCTTCTTTCAGCTCGTCATCCCACCACTTAACCGATACCCCACATCGTACTACCTTCCTTCCCACTACTCTCTCTGCCGTTGCGTTCACGATGGACTCCCACCCTTCAATCACCCTGTCCCGTGCTGCTTGTACATCTACCTGTCCGTCTTCGACACTTTTCAGCAGTTTCCTGAAGGGTTCTGCACTACCAGCCAGTCCCTTCTGGAATTCATCCCGTGTCCCCTCGTCTCCCAAACGCTCTACTTGGCACCGGAACACTTTCCTCTGTTTCTTACTCTCCATCTTTCTGGATCGGTCGATTTTTGCCCATATGAGGAAGTGGTCGGTCGAACCTATATCTATCTCACCTACGTGCAGCTCTGGGATCTGTGTGCTCCCCCAATCTACCATGATGTAGTCGAGGATCGAGTATTCATTGCGAACCGCCCGTTGCCTGGTGAACTCCGGCTTATCGCATTCCCTCCTACCGTTCAACACCGTCAGTTCGTTGCTTCCCAAGAATTCAAGCATCCTCACTCCGTTGTCATTCACTTTGTCTTCTCCGTGCTGCCCGATCGCCTGTCCTCTACTGGAAGCTTTCCCTACTCTGGAGTTGAAATCGCCCACCATGACAACTTCTCCCTTCCTACTGAACCTCTGGACATCTTCCCCAATTTGTCCAAAGTTCTCCTGCGCCTTGCTTGCGACTTTCTTCAACGACGGTGGGACGTAAACGTGCCCCAGAAACAAATCTTTCTCTCCCCGCTCCCCAGGTATCTTCAGCCATAGGCTTTCCTCGACCTCCGTTTTCACCACTACTTCCACCACGTCAAACAAGTGTTCCTTGATCAGGAATCAGACTCCGCCCTCCCCCCCTTTTCTTCGAGTCTAAGCCCTTTCTGGCCTTCCCTACCCACCGGTACTTCCCTAGTTTGCCTACCACGTCACCATCCTTCAATTCCCCCGTCTCTTGGATCCCCACTACATCTAGATCGCTTTGTTCTACTTGGTCCACTATTTCCAACCGCTTGCGCTCACTCCTTGCGAACCCGCACACGTTCCACGACCCGACTCTCAGCTTGTGCTTTTCCCTGTTGGAGATCTTGCGCACTCTATCGTTTGCTTTCCGCGTCTTCTCGGCGTTCTTCTGACTTGCCTGCTCGCCTCCCCCGCTCGGTCCTTTCTTCGCCTCCGTCGCCCTCGCCTCTTGTCTCCTTACCTTCTCTGTTTCTATCATGTTCGCGATGCAAACCCTCCATCCAAACTTCCTTACGTAGTTCGACAGCTTCTCGATATCAACCCCCAAGCACTCTTGGCTGTCTCCCTTGGTCAATTTCACCCGGAAGTGTTCGTGCTCTCTGCCTACTTGTCCTCTTGCTAGGCAGTGCAGTCCCTCCCTGTCACAACAGTTCTTACACTCTATCCTCGTCATGTCCCTTGGAATCCCAAACAGCAGCAGCTCCAACTTGTCTTCCTTCCACAGTTTTTGCTTCCATCCTCCCGGCTTCCTCACCATCCCCATGATCTCTACGGCAACTGGACCGTGGCCACTTGTTTTTCGTGTTTTTCAGAAAGATGTACGGAATACTCGGCCTTCCCAATCCTGTCCAGCGGGGGTTGTGGTTTCAGTTCTTTTGCCGGCTCACCGACGCTAAATAGCGCCTCCAACATAGGCTC